CCACGCGAAACGTCCCCAGCAGCGAAGAGCGAGGAGAAACGGATGTTTTCGCAGGCTACTCATTGCCCGGTCCACCACTTTCCAATATGGCGGCTGAGTCAAATTTCCCACCCTGGGACGTTCAGGATGTCAAATTCCCTACTCACATGCGCTTCACTGGGTGTAATTCCCGTGGGTTGTAATGTATTCATCTCAGCTCTAGAACCATCAACTGTTATTTTATATGTAACTTTATTCATCTATCGATTGATTTTTTACCTTTAAGCCCAGAGATTGTGCGACGGCATCGGTTGGGGAAAACGTTCCCAATTTTTTCCCATTGGGTTTTTTGGGCTTTCTTATCAGGCGGCGCACGTTAATAGTTTAGCCTGAGTGACTTTATTTAGGAATATTTGTATACCATTTTTTAGTTATGATGGTGAATATTTGGACGACAATAAACACTCAGGCTCACAGTTCGAGCTGCACACCCATTCCCATCTCTTAGTCGTGAATATAAATAGGAAAAAACATTTTTTCCTGTGGCGCCAATCCAGTAAAACGCAAACGAATTCCGAAATGGCGGCGGGAGTGGACTCGCTTTACGGTCATTTATTAAACATCTAGCCTCCTTCAGGCTCCGGTTGTTCAAACGTTGGATAGCGCTATCCACTGGAAAGGGAAATCAATTGCATTATCCAGTGGGTAGATTTATCCAGTGGATAGCGTTATCCATCTTTCGAACAACTTGACGCCGGAGCCAATTCTTTCAGACCCTATGGGTGAGGCAATCGGCCTTCACGACTTTCAAATTCTTCTGAGTTTAGTACCCTTCGGTTAGGTGAGTATATATTCTGGCCGTTCCGGAGGTCCATTCTCAAAATACCTACAGGATGAAATAAACTGTGCTTACGGTTGATAAAGCTCTCTCTCTTTTTATCGTGGCTCTTTGCAACTCGTTGTCGCGCGAACTGTTAGGAATTAGATTAAAAAAATAATAACTTTTGGAACCCAGGGTAGTGAGCATGGTGCTTGATATTTTGAACTAAGGATGCACTTATCGAACAGGAGGCTGAATGATGTTGAGCTGATGGTACAGAGAAGAAAACCTCAGAATAGTTTGTTTAAAAAACAGGATGCAGTATGAATGATAAGACATTTCACTCATCAGCTGTTCAGTTATGGGTTTGTTGCTTATAAACAGAGTAAGAGTTTAAATTTTGTTTTTTCAATTTTTTTCGATGTCTCAACACGTTGCAAGAAGCTATTGGAAATTAATATTTTTCCAATGTAATGAGGTGAGTTTCGTGAACGTATTTTAAAATCTCACATTGTAAATCTTACCTTCTTGGCCTTGTGTACGGGATCAGCTCGCAGGAACAAGGTTGCTTAACGGCTTAGGGAAGATATAATCAACGTTTAAAATATGGACATGTCTACGACGTATTTTAACGAAATGTCATCCGTGCTAACTGCATGTGATACTTAATAATAATAATAATAAAAATAGGCTATTGGCCCATTTACCTAGTAATTTGTGTTTTTTCTTTCTCCTTCTTCAAAATTACAACTTTAATTATGTTTCATAATCATTTGTGCAGTTCACGATATAACCCACTTCCTACTACGGACGTGCGTCAGTTAAAAGCAGGGCGGATAAAGGTTGGGCGGTGAAACGAGCGCGTCCGAGCAAAAAGGTGTGATGCAGTGGACTGGAACTCTGCTTAGAAATGTCGCTTGTTTTCGACTTCGGTCAGGGCTTGCGATGTGGTTAGTCCATTAGACACTGCCGCTGTCACTGAATTATGGCGGCTTGATTTGTTTTCTTGCATTTCTTCCTCGTTCCTTTGTGCTGGTACGCTGTCTCCGAGAGGCAAATGTTGCTATTTTTTGCGTGAGGTTTAATTGGAGTAGACAAACATCTCTTTCAAAGGGTTCCTCTTATTACTTCCATGACTCTACCACTGAATTATATTTTCGTTCTACTACACGCCAATTCGATGTTATTCCAAAGCAAAAACAACTAAGTACTGTCTAAAACACGAAAGAAAATCTCGTCCATGTCATCCATGGCAAAACTAAAAGACAGCAGATCGTGTTTCATAACTAGTTCTCAAACTCATTAATAATTCATAAAGAAAATACAAAGAAAATTAATGTTTAATGAGTGTTTGGAAATCGGATGAAAAACTGCTCAGTATTTGCATCCTTAATTTCTCCTTCAAAAATGATTTTGTTTGAGAAGAAATATCAAACATTCGACACAGTGTTTCATCACCAGATGAAACACCTCGAAGTTCGTCAAAAATACTCCGCTGCGCGTCGTATTTTCAACTCTCTTCTCGGTGTTTCATCTGGTGATGAAACACTGCGTCTCATGTTTGATATATTACATGACGTGTATTTTATAAATGCGTGTAGCTCGTGCCAGGTGAAATTATGCTAATTTCAATCACCACCATCCTTGTTTTTAATTTTGAAAAAAACATCTCATACGTCTTTCTGTTTCTTCGAAACTTCAAAATTAGTTTCCCCTCAGTTTTTACTGTTTATCTTGTTTTGTTTTAGAGACAAAAATGGAGAAAAAACCTTACAACTAACCTCAATAAATTTTGTTTATATGCGGTTGCGGAATTTGCGACGCATTGCGCGAATGGCCATGCTGCGTTGCACCCGAGAAACAAAGTTTGAAGCAGTACAACGCCACTATATCAAAATATATCAATCTAATTTTTTGTTATTTTATATAAAATTTATCCCCCTTTAACATATGTAAAAAGTGAGGTCAAGAAGTGTTAAGCTTTTGCAAACGAAACGGCGAAAGACGACTAGGTGATATTTAGTGGAAGGAGGAGGTATTCAACACTTTCAAGTTAAACTCAAATTTTGGCATGAAACGACCAACAAGTTTGACTTATAGGTACACAGACACAAACATATGAAACTGTTTATTGATATTTTATGAAACAAATTTATCTATTTAACATTGTAGAATGAAATTAAAGAAAGAAAATAGGATTTCCGGTTTGCAAAAAGGAAAATTTCGCCGGCCTTCAAGCGCACCGGAAGCGCGGAAAGAGCGCTCGTGCCAGTCCTACTCCGCATCATACATTAAATGAAGAGCGGAGCTCTCATTTCACCGCCCAGCATTTATCCGCCCTGGTTAAAAGGGTTTATTAGCGGAGCTCTCGTGCGCGAAGAGCGCCAGCTGAGCATAATGGGTAAGAAAATGAAGTAATCCACCCATCCGAGAAAATTTGGTAATCACGTGACTGTACACCGCCCGAGAGACCGCCCGTCCGCACCACAGGCATACCAATGTAAAATAACTCGATCAACAGGTATGGCAACCCAAATGCAACTCGAGGTTATTTTGGCGGGAAATCGCATAGCCTCCGGCGTCTTGTAAAGCAGAGACAACAAAAGAGCCAATAAAGACGAAAACGGAAAGCGCAAATTCAGTGTTGTCTAAAGTATTAAGCTTAGATATATATTGTCATGTCCACAAATTTGGAATATAGAGCAAGAGAAAAACAGAGATAAATAGAAAGTGGGCGGCAGGCCAGCGAAGCTCAACGAGAAAAAGGGCGACAGGGATTTAGAGCGAGAGATAAAAAACCGAAGGAGACATTTTTTTGTTGGAAGAACAACATGAAAATATTGTAGCGGTGACAAAATGAGAATGCTAGCGGCCACCATTGCAAGGTGAAAATGAGCTGCTGTGAAAAAAAGTGAACGGGAACACGTACGACATTTCCTCCATAAAACGTGTAACTAAAAAGTTTCTGGAAGTTTCGCGTTGTAATCTTGCAAAACAACGGCAAAGAAATGTACAAAGAAAGTGTGCTGCACGCGCAAAGTTGCTTTTGCTACTTAGCCCTATTGTTGTTTTTCACCGTTTTCCGAGGGTGCATGCCTTCGCCGCTTAGCATTACATGATTTTATGTTTTGTTTGAACAAACTATAAATATTATCGAGAGCTTCGCTTTTAACCCTGGCTAAATCTATATATTACGGGTTTCATATTCACACAAGCACGTTTTCCGCCTTGTCAAAGAAAGTTTCTGGTGAACATCTGTTCATTGGTCAGCAATAAACAACCTGTCTGACATATACGTAATGGAAGTCGTTTATTCTTTATTCTTTGCACATTGCTTCGCTTCCCAGTATTAAAGGTCAATTAAATAATAATAATAATAATAATAATTATTATTATAATTATAATTGTAACAATAGAACTAATGGAATGAAAAGACAATAAACAAAGAGTGTCTAGGTGCTTAAGACAAAGCCACTACTTATCGGAATTATTTATAGCTGAATGTCTGAATAAAATAGCCTAGCTTAATGTTATTCACTAACGGGGCTTTTTTTTTTTGCTCCAAAACGAATCATGCTACGGCCACCAAAGTAGACTTTAACCAAATTAAAAAATACTTACATAGTAAGCTGCGTGATAAAATCAAGAAGTTGGCTAACACATGAATTATCTTTAACAATAGCAGCGCAAAAGCCCTACGGTATGAATAGGGTTAAATGATTATTCGACCCTAAATTAAACTGTCTTAGCTAGAAAACGAAAGCCTATCAGAGCTTCCATTTTATCACAGTCATCATCATAGTCCACCTACACTATTAAGGTGTTTTAGAGCTATTTAGCAAAGCATTTCATTGGTTTTATACTTAAGGACCTTCACTCGCTACAGTTAAGAATGACGTCACTTTGCTAAAGAAAAATAGAATAACCAGAACAAATAAGTCAAACTGCAGTCTACTTTTCACATTTGCTATGTTGGGCCTTCTAACTAGCTGAACTGCCACACAAATATGGTGTGGTGGCTCAAACATTAGCTGAAGATAAAATGTTAACCGTACGTACTGAGGGATTATAGTTGATGGATTCTGCAGCGGAAGATCTCAAAGGTCCAAAAGGGGGCCTCGATACTTTGCTCGTACGTATCCGCGGTCAGTCTTTTTTATTTGTTTGTTTTCTTTTTTATTAGCATATAATCTTCGAAACCTCAGTTCTTGTGAAAGGATAATCGCGACCGCAGTTTTCTTTTGAGACTGTCTTTAGCACTGGTCGTACGTAGAAATATCTCCGATAATGACCTTTTCCTTTCCAAAGCAGAACCAAGGTTAGCAAAAGTTTTGGGTTCGCTATCCTTTTCCTTGGTTTTGGAATCCGAAAATCGAACATAGGCTTGGTCGCTATGCACAGATCCTTTTGAGGAACTCTTATACATAGAATTAGTTGATTGTGAGGAGATGTTATCGTTAGAATCTCTCACCGGTATCGCTTGATCAATAGGGCAGATATCGGTTTGATCGTCCTCCTCGAAGGCAGGGTTACAAAGCTCCGCTGGAGAGACGGAAGCCTCGGAAGACGAATTCCAGACACTCGTACTGGAAGTAAATTCATTTGAAGTGCGAAAGGCGTCAACGTTTATCGATAGCAGACCATTTGCCACACTTTTCTTTGGTGTAAATTTAAGCTTAATCGGCTTGCTGCGTCCGCTTTGTATCGCCTTACGGTAGCTGTCCCGCATGTCAAACATTCCAAGCGGTACGTTGGGAGGGAAAATGACTGATCGCGAGTTTTCAAAGCTTGATTCTCGGCGTAAGTAAGCGCTTCGTACCGTGCGTCCGTACGCGCTCTTGCTGTAATCTGACAGCCGCACCTTTTTACAACACAATCCGAGTAAAATCTTTCGAAACGCTCGCCGAAAATCTTTGTTGCGGAAGCCATAAATGACGGGATTACAAACCGAATTCCCGTACTGAAGCCACTTGCTTACGGAAAAAATCCACGTTGGCAAAGTCGGAAGGCCTGGACAACCAGCTCCCTTGAACAGTGTGGCTATACAAACCGCGAACGCGAAGTTGATACCAAAAAATGGAGTCCAGCAGATGACAAAAAGGCCAATGACTACGGCTACTGTTGTAGCAATGCGCAAATCCTGAAACAAAAGCAACATCGTTAAACTGTGGCTTATAGTAAAATCATTAAAGCAAACAAAACACGGTGTGAAAAGAACGTCCATTTCAATGGTAAAAACGACAAATAATCTACTCATCTGTGCAAAAATCCAGATCAATCAAAAGATGAACAAAAAATATTAAGTTAAACGTGATTTTGAGAGCAGAAAAAGAAAGCAAAGAAAAAATAACAACAAGAACAACAACAGGAGAAAAGCGTCAGTGAAAGTTATCTGACCAACGAGAAAATTCTCTTTGTGTTAGTCAGTGGTACTTCTTTATATTTTTTTTTTGTGGTCTCCCGTCAAGTGACTATCATATTGCGTTGTTCAATGTGCGTTTCTTTGTGTTGCGCACACCACTGTTGGTTAGCCGTCATTAGTAATGTTTTTTTTTTTTTGGTCATTAGTAATGTTGTATGTGCGTGTACGTCACTCCATGAAACTGATTAAGAACTGTTTGTTGCTAATGTTTGTAGAGCTTTGACAGTGATAACCCTACATTAAAGGGGGATAGTGCACGTGCCTAAAATCAACACCAATATTCAGCGTCATTGAATAGTCAAGTAATGAAAGATAACGTGGTCGACAAAATCCGACGACTGATGAACGCGATGCGACGAGGGCGGTTAGAGTATTTGGAAATGTTTTGATTTGCTGTCCCAGTACAGTTTTAACAACTTGTCTTTGTGTAGTGTATTTATCATGCTAAGTTACTTTATATCTGCCACTGGGAAAGCATGGGAACTTCTTTACGGTGAGAACACCAAAGGGACAAAGTCTAAGTACGCACAATAAAGGTGTCCACTATTATACCCATGGGAACTGTATGAAGTGTACTATCTTTGAGAGCAAGTGAGCTGTAAGTAATAGAGGTGTCTGTCTGAAGAGGTTTGACTATATCCCGGAAATCATTTCCCTCAGTTACTGTAAAACTGAAATGAATTAAGCGGTCACCTCCATTAGGTGGTTACGTTACTATTAGACGGTCACTTTGACAATATGCACAATGTTGGCGTTTACTGGTCTCTTACTTCCTTTTTTGGCACACGAAAAGGTAGAGGCACTTTGAGGTAGTTTTGTCGCGGGTTCGCTCTTTCACCATCTTTATTTGATTAAACAACTCTTAGGTTTGTCAAAGTTGTGTTAAACCGTCAAACTGTATTAAGCGGTCGGTAAGCCATTCCCAACGGGTGACCGCATAATACAGGTTTGACTGTATATCTGTTTCTTAATAACGTTAGCTATAATTTTCATGAGATTGTAACATATTACCAAAACATGGACTATGATCACTGGCATTCAGCACTGGGTACAATCGAGAAAAAGTACACATGACAATGATCATACAGACAGTACGGTCCAGTGGTAGATTTCCTGTGACTATCAATACCAATAGCATAGCATATTACCTTTTTGAACGAACTGACGCCTCTGCCTCGTGCATGCGCTCTAGCTATGTGAAAGATCGTACCATAAGCTACCAAAATAACGATGAGTGGTGTGAAGAAGAATGCGACAGTTACAATTATGCCATAGAATTTCTCTTGTTCCACGGGTATCATTGATCCAGCTAATGACGACAGAATCCATACGACGACGATTATGGCTACCACAGACCCTGTAAACAGCAAATAGACAAATGGTCAAAAGGTGACTCATAACTTATTGGACGGTTTAGTATGTAGTATTATTATATACATACTGAGAAATACTCACCAAAAAGCTACGTCGTAAATTTTCGTACGTAAATTAGTTCTAGCCAATCAGAGGAGCGAACGATGGTTTTCACACATGAAAAAAATGATACGTCCAATCAGAATCGCGAACGATGTTTTTCCACGTGTGAGAAAAATGATACGTCCAATCAGAAGCCACAGAGGTGTGTGAGTTTCGCGCCAAAATTCCCGCCTTTTATTGCAGCTTGCAGCGCCGCCTCGCACACATTTAACGAGAAAAGTTTTACTCAGAGTTTTTCTCGCTAAAAAAGTGAAAAACATTTCGGAAATGGAGTAGAATAGTTTCCTTTGTTTCACTGTCGATAAAGAAAACGGTAGAGAGCCGGCGAAACAACAGCGGAAAGGGATAAACAGAACGAGATGTAAGCTTTTGTTGTGCTTTTTGTCGGAGCTACTTTGCCTTTCATTTAAGCTTAAGCTTATATTGAAACCGGCCATTTTACTTAAATTCACTCATTTTCAATTGTGCATTGAGAACAAACAGTTAAGATTACTTATAGTTCTTGGATTACCTGATATCCTCACCGTCATTTATGTTTTTAACAAACGTTTTTACGAAAAAGCTTATACTTCGTTTTCGTTGTCATTTTGCAGTAAGTGTGTAGCGGCAAATATTAGCATTTTTGAAAATTTAAAATAAAAAGGCCGCCAAAATGATGAATGTCTCAGTATGTATATAATAAACACAATACCACATGGAAAGTGCTTTGTACGGTATTTACTTACTCGTTGTTTTTGTATCAGAAATCTTACTCGTTCGCTGCGCTCACTCGCTCGATTTCTGATACCTCAACAACTCGTGCGTAAATACCGTACGCCAGCACTTTCCATGAAGTATTCTCTATTTATAAAATAAATAAGATAGTACGCGCGCTCTGATTGGCCGAGAGGAGTGTTTGCATGAGAGTATGTAAACATGATTGTGGCGTCAAGATGTTTTGCTTTTCGCCCCCTAATCACGCAAGCACGAATTTGATATAGTTTTCGAGTTCAAAACTCTACAAGTTTACTTTATTTACCCATTCCTTCGTCGGCTGAAACTTGGAAAATCTTTACAAAGAAGGTGTGTCAATTTTTCGTCGCTTAAGCTGGCATTTTAAGCGAGAAAAATCCGTATTTTGGAAAGCATCTTTTTGCACAACAAGAACTGATTACGCGTGCAAGACTTCGTGGACAAGACTTTGCGACTGGTAAAAATTTCTCTTTTAATCAGAGCCATACAAAGAGGTTAGCATTTTTTCTCGGGAAAGTTATTTTATAAAAGCAATAGAAAACTTTTTTTCCTGAGTTTGCGTAGCCTGATATAAACACTCGAGGCTTTGGGAGAATTCCCTCTCTCAACCCCTCTCGTGTTTATATCAGGCTATTCAAACACGGAAAACGTTTTCTATTGCTTAATCGTGAGATATTTTTTACGTGTCATGTTGCATTTTGCTACTGAGTCGCAAGAGCGCGATACCACACACTAAAAGGTTCAATAGAAGACCAGACTCAGGAAAGTGGCGGTAATCGAACCTAAGGATATGTCTGCAAAGACCCACCGTAGCACCAGAACCACGCGAGAGAGACCAGACTTTGACGTAAACACGAAGTTTGCTGCTGAATTCACATTTTGCTATGTATGAAACCAAACAAGCGAACATATGACGTATCGAATCAATAGTCTTTTCTTCCAGTTTTTTGTCAAGTATTATTGTCCAAAAGCAAAAAAATCAAACCCTAGCTCACTGGAATTAAACAGAACGCCGGCGGTACAAAATAGTCCAAAATAAAGATTGATCATAACTCCAGAATCTCATCAAATCTTGACTTACCTCATTCCTTGGTATTTAATGTACTCTTTTCAAGTTTGAATTTCTGTGTTGGCGATATATATCAGACACATAAAGACAACAGAAAACAAGCTTGATCTCTAGTGCATACTTCGAAAACGATGGGCGTTATTTTGTATCTCGCCCCAGTCCCCGACGCGCAAATTATCCATCCTGACTGCGATCTCAAAACCATGTCCACCTTTCACTGCAGTTTGTGAGGAAACAAGCACGGTGAACCTCGATTTTTTCCCCCAGTATTTTGCTAAAAATAGTCTAATAACGAACATATTTGAAAAACAAAAAAAGCTTGATAGTAGAACATGATTTTTTGGGGGAAAAATATTTTCGTATTTGGTGTATTTGGGTCAAGGCGAGGACATCAAGCTAACCACGGAACTGTCCGAAAAAAGCAATATCCCCACAACCAGCCAATGAAAAACGAATTAAATGAAGCAATACTGCTTAACTGAATAAGAGACGCCTTATGTTCAAGATAAAATCTTGTGTGTTTCAAGTAACAAAGACTTAATTCTGTAAGAAGGGGATTCGAATTTTTAACGAACACCAGTAAAAATACCCCAGTTTAAGAGTCTGCTGACTTGTAAACAAGCACGGTGACCCAATCTTTTTATTGAATTTTTGTAATGTTCATATCATGAATGTTGATTATGCCAAGTTTCGAAAAAGGTCTGATAGTAGAACAATTTCAAGGGAATGACCTTAAATTGAACGTAACATCATGTTAAAAATCCCAACTGGTAGGAGGCGAACCAGTTGGCTATTTCACGAGCGTGCCAAGGATTGAACTCGGGACTGCAGAGAACAAATCCAGCTAATAGTCAAGGCGGGACTTGAACTCGGGGCCTCCGAATTTCAAGTCCCGCGCTCTAACCGCTCGGCCTCACTGAAGTACATGTAAGGAATATTGTGACTTACGTTTTCGGATGTTTCGATGCTTTATCGGGTGAAGTAGAGCATAACACCTCTCTTGGCTGATGGCAGTGAGATTTAGGATCGAAGACACGCCGCAGATGACATCAAAAGTCAAATAAAAATCATACAATGGACCTTGAAATGTATATGTCACAGATATATAAACCCATAGCGGCACAGAGACCGTTCCGATCAGCAAATCAGCGATGGCTAAGGACATCAAAAGCAGATTGGTTGTCGTGCGAAGTCGTCTGTTAACGCGGAATGCACCGATAACTAACGAGTTTCCAAACACAATCATCAAGGCAAGGATGCAAAAGAAGACACTGAAGACCATAGCAACGACATCAACTTGGCGGGAAGGAGGAAGTCGAGGCCCATGTCCAGCTCCAGTGCCATTTGTGCTGTTTGTCGCGTTCGTAAATGTAGTGTTGTTTAACAT